CTCTCTCTCTCTCTCTCTCTCTCTCTCTCTCTCTCTCTCTCTTTCTCTCTCTGTGCTGCTTCTTATGGGTTCAGAGGTTTCTGATCCCCAGCAGGGGTTCAGAGGTTTCTGATCCCCAGCAGGCAGGGAAAGGGCCTCCTGACTTCCAATATTTCTTGTTCCGAGCTGGGGAACACGGGTTTTATTTCTTGGTCCAGGAAATGAACCATGGCAGACGAAATCTCCAGCTGCGGCGTTGGAGGATCAGCCCCGCGACTGCGAGGAGAGCAGCATTTGATTTGAAGTATTAAGGATTTGTAGCCCGAATTACAAATATATACACACCTTTGGTAGTTCTTATGTGTGCCATAAAATTATTCCATGTTTGGTTATCTGTTCTCAATTTTAATCAAAAGCAAAACAAACAAGGCGATGCTTTATGTTTTGATCATTTCTGACACCAACATGCCTTTTTTTTTTTTTGTCTTTATCATGATGTTGCACCTATCTGATTAACTGCATTCGGAAACAGAAATGGAGCTGGAATAACCGGAGGCCAGCGTCACCTCACCCTCCACCTCCACCACTTTGTGATAACAGAGGTAGTGCAGCCTTGAATGGTTGTGATAACAGAGGTACTACCAGGATGGTTCACAATGAAGAAAAAGTGCATCGCGGAGTCGTCGGCTTCGGTGGTTCTGTATTTGGATGGTTGCAAAAGAGACTAAGCCGGTGAGATTGCCAAAAGGTGCTATTTGATTACTGGTTTCTTTCTTAAATAACATATGCAGAAGAAAAACACTAGGATTCAAATTGTGGAATTATACATGTATTACATGTGTGTGTGTGTGTATAATATATTTATATTACAATACGCAGTCAGAGCTACGAAAAGTTAACAGCTTATGTCGATGGGCACAAAATTCATAGGTCACAAGTTCAAGTTTGGCAGACATTCAACAAATCGAACAAGCTTAGAACAACTTAAGAGCCAATCAAGAAAAAGTTTGCGAAAATCTTCCAAACGGGAATAAGCTATTGCGAAAAAGTAATTGCCAGGACAAAAAAAATCCAGTTCCATTTTGAATTTCATGTTTTAAGCATAAAAATTGACCAATGGAAGCATGAGCCACTTTTGAAGGAAGAGGATAATCAACCAATGGCAAAACTTAAATCGTAGATTTAGAGACTAGGATCGGCAGAAAATTGCTTCAAACCTAGTAGTGGTACAGGGTCCCTACTGGTCTGCTCAGTATCATCCATCGTGTCTTTAGAAAACCTCAGTGCCAAACCTACAATTATATATATCAAGCTTTTTCAGCTGTGTAACAATATGCCCATCGATACAATAAATGAAATAAATGCAGAAACACTGGCAACAATGATAACCTTGTATTGAACTGTTTGATTTAAGTCACCCTTGAAAATGAAAGCATGAATCATTATAAAATTATCATGGATCAGTATTGAATTTATCTCTTGACATGTCCAAGTTCTTCCCAGTGCTTTGTACAGAAGAAGAAAAAAAAACATGAACTCAGAGGGAACTATAAGCTTGTTAGTAATAAGACCAAAGTTCTGTTATGGAAAAGAGCCTGTAAATCGGAGTTCTGTCTTAGAGGTGATGATAACCATCCGATCAACTCTCTACTACAAATGATACTTGATCTTTCAGCTAGAATGCTTTTCTCAATAGGTGGGACAGACTTGAAGTGGAGAACAATAAGTTGGATATGTGTAAAATCATTCAGACATTATTGCAAAACAAACTACTATGATGATTTTCTGAATAAAGGAATGAAGCTTCTAACTTGATATGACTAATTAAAAAAATAAAAATAAAAAAAGTTTTAGTAAAGGTCAATTTGGAAGTTCGGATATTTTGGCTGTTCAAATTGTGGAACATGATAGTAGAAGCATTCTGCACTTGTATACATAGGCACGGTGATAGCTGCTGCTAAGTAAATGAGCTAGGAGGGATTCACATGGAAATCGCCTATCCTATCATCAAGTGTCAATAATTTTAACCAACAGATCGTAGCTCCGAATCAAAATTCATAATTAATCAGATTTTGAAATTTATAAAGTTGAAGAATTTTTCTCGCTTGAGTTACTGGAAGCACTTACGATGAACTTACAGATCCTTTATTGTTCACTTCCATCACAACTCTGCTTTCTGCAAGAAGAGTACGAGCATCAATATGATCAAAAACCACTTTTTGATGAGCCAACCATTTCTTTTTCCTATCCTCATACCTTGCCCTGGGTTGTTTTAGCTGTTCTTGATCATTTGCCAAGGTCTTAATATGATCCTCCAGTTGTTCAATCTAGATAACAAAGCAGGAAAAGAAAGGTGTTAACATAGAAAGTAGTAGGAAACTGATTCATGTGCAGTATAGTAGGTTACGCAATGTTCTAAAAGGCAGTTGGCTCTCCAAAAGTTGGTACGAGGAGCCCTCATGGGGTCATTTTGAATCTCTAGCTGTAAATGTAGTTCTCAACACTTATCGAATACAATTTTTCTTTAAGAGAAAAAAGAAAGTTGGCAACATTTTGTAATAGGATAATTAATGTCACAATATTGGGATAACATGTTCACTTTGTCGAATTTGAACCCAAACGATTACTAAATTTGGGATATTCAATTTGATGATAAATCAATCATATCTTTGCCCAAACTTAATGTGGAACAAAGGTATACTGGTACCTTTGTGTTGGCAATCTTCGTTGTTTATCAGCGATGCATCAAACTGATCATGCGACCCTGTTCTCCTTTGCCCCAATCTAAATCTCTCAAGGCCATGAGCTTCATTTCTGCTTCTTCCTGTAGGATGCAACCAAGTCAAGACCACAAGAATGGAAGCCGAGAATTCACATGAGAGGGGAAAACAGAAGAACCAAAAACGAACACGCGTAGATGGCAAACCAGGCTTTAATCATCCGGATCGCTGCATTCCCGTCGCAGTGTGCCATACTTCCGAATCCTTCTCGTCAGACGTCTGACTTGCATTCGTTGAACGGTTTCCGTCAGAATAGCAACTAGATTCAATATTACCACAAGATTGGAAGGAAGAAAGAGAGACATAGAAAGAACCAACCATCAGCTTCCTTCTGGGTGGAGTACATACAGGTCACCGATGGCAAGAAGGCCTGGAGATGAGGGGGATGCCGCCGGGCCCTTCGAGATCTTTTCTTGGATGGAGATCATACATGCGGTCTCAGAGGTCCCGAACCCACCAAGATTCCTTCCCGGCACCGAAGTGGGCACGAGCAGAGAAGGTATTGGTGTTGACAAACATATTCGTTTTTGATCTGACAATAAGGTCAATAAGTTAATCATTATGCAACTAAAAAAGCACTGATGAACAGTGTAACACACCAAATGAAGAACTATGCAAATCCATCCTTGTTTTGCCAACAAGTAAAGAGGGTTATCTATACACACGGAAGATTTACTGGTTGGTTCTTTCTTCGATCTTTCGCTGCAAGGCAGCTGCCGATTGATCCTGCAGATTCCGGAGTTGCTGCGTCTTCAGATCGTCTGGTTTTTGTTCGTCGTCTTTGCTGCGGGAACCAACAACGGCAGCAGGGCGTATCCCATGGGGAACATCCAAACCATTCTCCACACCTCGGAGCCAATCTACTCTCTCTTTCTCTCTCATGACATGGTTTCTTGGATTCGTTGATGACCAAGATTCCTTCCCGGCACCAATGGAGTTCCAAGAACTCCCAAGAAAGAACCCCCAAAGAACTCCAATGGGGGATCAATAAGGAGAGGCGCAGCATCGAACATTCCAAGAACCAACAGAAGAGAGAAGAGAGACGGGACGGGCAGGTCATAGCACGGGTCCTCTTAGGGTTTTAACCCCAGAGAGAGAGAGAGATCCAAGAAACAGAGGAAGCGCGGAGAAGCAAAGAAGAAATGAATCAAAGGGTATA